ACCTACTCTGGTATAGCCTAGCTTTTACTCTCTGGAGATCTTTCTGGATTGGCTACTGATCATAATTTATCTTCGTTATGATTTTGTTTCTTTCTTAAACTCGAACCTGTTTCTGTGTAGCCACCTCCTGTAAAGCCTGCTCCCGAAAAGGCTCCTAAGAAAGCAGCATCAAAAACCCTTGAAAAGAAGGGTAAAGCAGCCGAAGTTCCAAAAGAAACACCAAAGGAAGAACATGTAGATCCTATTGCTGAGAAACTTCGCCAGCAGAGGTAGAGTCTATAAATATTACTCTTTCCTACACAGAATGCTTCACTGGAGTCTTCTTACTTTGATCGTTTTCTTTTATGAAAAATATTTATAGACAGACCAAAGGCTGTGAAGGTCTGTGTGTTCTTATATGATATGTTCTTTCTGTCACAGGCTTGTTGAGGAAGCCGACTACCGAGCAACTGCTGAACTCTTTGGAGCAAAGGATGAAGAAAAAAGCCTTGATATGTTTATCCCCAAGTCTGAAAGCGATTTTTTGGAATATGCTGAAATGATTTCTCATAGGCTTAAACCATATGAGGTATGTCGTATTCTGTCTTTTGTCTTTCTTCTCTTGGCTCTAACAAACGTCCATGGCATGTTAAAAATCATATTTTGGTTTCGGTTGCAGAAAAGTTATCACTATATTGCCCTACTCAAAGCAGTCATGAGACTTTCGGTGACCAACATGAAGGCAGCAGATGTTAAAGATGTTGCTTCCTCCATTACAGCAATAGCAAATGAAAAACTAAAGGCTGAGAAAGAAGCTGCTGCCGGCAAAAAGAAGACGGGTATGTGCACTGACAAATATTTGATGCCTCTTTACATTTAGCAGTATCTCGTTGGCTTGTAGCTTTGCAGATTTGTGGATGTGAATTTAATTTTTGTGATCATCAAAAAATTTCAGGTGGGAAGAAGAAACAACTTCTTCTAGATAAACCCGATGACGATTTAGTGGCTGGTCCTTATGATGCCATGGATGATTTCGACTTCATGTAGATTAAAGAGCTTTTTGAGCGATGCAATTTGGATTGTTTTCATCATTATCACTCAGAAGAGCCAAAAAAGCATAAGTTTCTTATTTCTGAAAATACAGTTGAAAGAAGGAAAGCTTGTTTTCTGAGTTTTGGTCAGTTCGGTCTGGAGATTCTCTAAAGAGTCATGTTTTGCTTCTTTTTTTTGTTTTTCTGTTGGTTAAAAGAAATTCATAATTTAATGTTTGGTATAAATTTATTATTGACATTGTGATGTGAAGAGGAGGAACAATTACATTGAAAGACACTTTGTTGGTCTTTTATTTCAATAGGGGTCTTGATTAGTATGGTTTAGTAAGCTGCATATTAATATGCATTAGTGATATGCGAG